ACAGAACGGCAACCTTGATTTTTGATCGTTGATGCAGGTCGGAGCTTTGGTTTCCATAACTTAGTTGCGTGACACAGGATACTACTAGCATCGTGCTTTCAACTAAGCATTCAATAACGCTGAATGATCTTTCGTCCTGCTTACGCAGCGACCAGGTTTCTGACGCATACGTTAAGGCGCGAAGTACTGGTAAGTCGAAGAGGTGGGCACGGAGTCGAGTGTTCTTTGTTCTTCTCACTACATCCTCGACGGTCTTGAAAATGAAATGCATAGAGATGAAAATGCTTATATACTTTTTTTATGCCTTTGTAGTAGCAATGATTAGTGAAAGAGTTAGCTCCTATGAGATAACGCCCTCGGCAAGCTTACGAGAATGTGAAACACGGCGGCGGTCGTTTGTAAACACTGTGCTTCTTAAAAAACCTAAGATTTGCATTTCCTCTAATTTCAGTAAGAGGCAGCAAATAACTCTTGTGATGTTTTCTCTGATAATACGTTTTCCTCCTAAAGAAAATTGTTTAGTTATTGGGTACCCTCTTTCAAGCAATGTGCGCTGTGGAGTATCTACCATTCTTCATGTTCACCTTCCTTCTGTTTGTCCCAACGGCTTTCTGTAGAATGATAGGTTTTATGTTTGACACGAGAAAGACGGTAATATGACTGATAATGCTCAACAACATCCATAAAAAAGAACAAAGTACTCATGAAGCCGCCGAACAGCGTGGAGTGGAGCACCACTCGAATGAAGTAACCACCGTTGGTGGTAAAGCTGTAATGTAAAAAAGCGAAGACAGAAATTCGTACTTAAACTAACTCATTTTTTGAGACTTTATTTGGGGAAACATGGGAATAAGCTTCATAATGCAGTAAATTTCGACCCTTTTCGATTGACTAACGAAGACCGTTTTCCACCAATTTTCAATCAATGCCTACCATTTCTGCGCAGTACTTCCATCTGGTTTCATAACCAAATCGACCGGATAACTCCTATACTAATTTTACGGCCACGAAGGGAAGAGAGGCCTGGTGGGCCCGGAGCGGGATCGAATGAGCACTATGCTCATGATGATTTGCATCAGAGCGACTGCAATAACATGACATCTCAGAAGGTGAGAAACCAGTTGGTCGTCATGTCACAATGAGTAGTCAAACAGTTTGGTGCTATACGGCGAGTGGAACCTTAATTATTTGGTATAGATCGATTGTTTCTCTTTTCATGTACAACTAGTCGCATTTTCATTAAATCGTATTTTCGACATGAAAGAAATCGTGCAGTCATTCATGTGAACCGATAACTGTCGAAGAGAATAAAGGACTATTCGGTTTACACATTGAAAGGAATTGTTAGACTCACTCCCACGATTGAGCAGTTACTGGACGTCTGTCACCCTTGCTGTAGTAGCCACATTTAGATTTTTTGGCGACATTATAACCAATTGTGGAAAAAAAATTTTCTCACGACTAATCAACTTATTATTTGGACACTTATATACTTATATAGTCCATCTTCGTATTTCACTTACTAAATTTATCAAAAGTAGAGGCAACAGGGTATACACGTATAGCAGAGACACCTTTATTGAAAATCCTTTGGTGTCGTTCAGAGGAATGGCGTTATATCACCCGTATATCTCACATAAGAGGTATAGCAAGCGACTTCGTGCATAATGCGTGGTAGAGGTATACAATGGCAGTGAAAACTTGCAGAACTTCGTCTGACACCGATGATTTGGCGAAACCAGTACTGATGACGAAAGTAGTTGGATGCTCCATATCATGCGTTGCCTAGTCGAGCACGCCCAAAACTGAACAGCGTTTAGGAAAGTTAGAAAGCCTTTAAGAGTTATAATTTTATATGGTCGTCTGTCTTTTGACCTCATTTCATATTCCTGTAGAGCAGTAATGTTTGGTATCCCGTTTAAGCTAGATCGAAAGAAAAGGCCCCATACAGTTGCAGCACAGTTCTAGAGAAGGAATCGCCATGAAGAACGCTAAAGATTCTCACCGTATTTAAAGCTATATGAATGACAGAGGTGCGGAGAGTGAAGGCTACTACAGCGACTTCAACATCGCGATTCACAGCATCAGCAGCAGAGCCAAAGAAGATGATGCGATAGGCAGAGAGAATCCATAGACATTCGGATTGTCGAATAACCTGCATATTACAGAAAATACCGCGAAAAATTCCACAAAGTGTTCACAGTAGTTATGTGGAAGGTTCCGCCGTGCCTTACAAACAGGAAGGGATAGATTGCTTCGGTCATTTACTATATCTTTTTAGAATGCCTTTAAAAACCATGATAACAACACGCATAATCTTAACGGCATCGTTTGCAGGAATAAGGAATATGTAGAACACGAATGAATGGTCGTGAAACGGGTAGTCGTACTTTATTATGCCATTTTTGCAAATGGAAAGCTGTGGTCCTTTGATTGCCGTTGAAATGTCAGAAATTTTTCGAAAGCACTTCAGCGATTTTTCGAGGATAAGTACTCTTGAAAGTGAAGGTCAAAATTCGTTACAAGCTCCATATAAGGCGCGCTTATTACGTTTCTCGTTGAAAATGCCGTTGATGAGCTTAGAACACTTATACCGATCCATCTCTGGAACTTTTTTCTACGGTGAAGCAACATAAAAACAAAAGCGTCTACGTGTCTTGTCGGAGCAAAAGCACGTTGAGAGCGACGCGCAGAGTTCTTGACCTCTTGAAGTCTCGTTAAAAATATACTAGCAGTGAAAGCTGTCGCGACCGTCACAGCTTCATCGTTCATATGTACTTTTACTTCCTCACAAATATAACACATACAACACAACGGTAGCTGACGTTTCGACAGTATCGCCTTCTCCAGAACCTGGAAAGGTAGACAAACATGTAACTCACTTGGGGAAACGCTTTCACAACGCAAACAGAAAGACGAAATCATTAACAATAACTACACGATCACCGGCCATCATTGAAGTTATACTTCACAATATACCCTGATACTAAAAAGAATACGCAGTAAATAAAACGGTTAAGATTTTGATTATAACTAAAGCCTCAGCTTAACCGGGTTCATTGCCGATTTGGGCTCCCCAGATCAATCCCGTTGACCGGTGATTGCTGGTGGCAAGTGATCGATGGAACTACTTGAGAGACAGGGAAAACGAAGTACGTGCATGGTGTGGCGCGGAGCGCGTTGGCCCCCGGAAAGGGTAGCAGAGTGTTCGCTGCCCACCACAGACACCTGCTGTCTTGTATTTTGCAGATATCTCAGCATCATCTTGGTCCTGCCTTTGTTAAAGAAGTAGAGAAAAATAAGGATCTGTTCGACGTCATCGTTGCCCATTCATCTATAGCTGCCATGTCTAGCCCCATCTCCAGTTGCCTACTCTAATCATAGAGTTATACTTCAGTTAATTTCGGGAGATATCCAAAGACACGTACTGGATCAAAAAACTCGAGAATCCGATAAAACACACAAAACCGAAGATATTTTTGAAATCTATCAATAAATATATAAGCAGGGAGCTCAGGATACAACAGCAGCTGGGAAGAAACATCAGTGTCACATCAGACCAGGGAGGTACTCGAAATTGAGCCCTACAGCAAAATTTTGGGCCTCAAACCCGCATGTACACGAGCAAAATGTATCCATGATTCTATTGTGGAACACAAGGACATTTCCCAATTGACTGCAAAAAAGTGCGAACATATGAAGAAAGAGTACAGATTATGAAAGGTCGGAATCTTTGCTTTAACTCTGGATCAAAGTTTCACCAAACATCGGCTTGCAAAGGTGGGTGCTGCCGAGTATGCAGCAAACGTGGGCATCACACGTTCATTTGTAAGCGCCAACAAGCTATAAGAGAACAGCTTAATCAGTCAGAAGTAGACCAACGAGGCAAACGAAAAGGGCCTGTCAACACTACGAAAGGCAAGAAGACTACGCAATCACGAATCACTGCAGTAGAATCCCAACAAAACTATCAGAATGATACGGCCGTACTCTACGCAATGAAAGAAGACACAACGAGTGTCCAAGTTTTGGCAGGACAAGTGCAGATCTTCAACCCATTCAGTTAGACAAAATGAACCAGTAGCTCTCTTGCTTGATACAGGATCCGATCGTTCATTTATCACCAACGAATTGGCTGAACGTTGGCATTTACGAAATATTGATTCCGTAGAATTATCCATTAACACGTTCGCAGCTCTTAACGAAGTCAAAAAGAACTGTGGAGTTGCCGCAGTAAAATTGTGGGATGTCTGTGGGACACAGCAAGATCTCTCATCTGAATATCAGTCATACTAGCAATCCTTCCTTCTGAGGTACGCGAACAGAATGCGCGACTGCTCCTATTTGGAGTTAGCAAATTGTTATTAGACTGATTTAGATTAAAAAAAAAGAACACTCATGAGATATGTGAGGGAGCCTCGACAGTCACTGCACAATTGAAATATGCATTCAGTCGTCTCTCCGATGTTGATCAACACCGAACACTTTATCCTTGTATTCACCCCTTACGGCAGAAATCATCGCGGGTTGACCGAATCTAGGTGGATGTTTAACCTTACGAATGGAAACATGCGTGCCACAGAATTACTAAAACACTCTGTCCTAGTTGGTCTTTTAATTGTTTCCGCTATCCTAGCAAAATAATATAATATTAAAAAATAAATCGAAGTGCATGCGAGTGATGAAATTGTGGCGATCGTGACAGTCCTCATTCATCTTATATTTTCAACGACACTTCAAGTGGGTAAGAACTCTACGCGTCGTTCTCAACTTACCTCGGTTTCGACTAAGCAACTAAGCGTGTAAAGGCTTATCTTTTACAGTCGCTCCACTCAAAGGGAAGTCGCATAGGGGTTTGTTGCAAGCGTGTAAGTGGATTTTGAACTTTCTAAAACAACTTTCAGGATTGCTGATCTTCAACAACTCGCTGAGGTGCTTTCGAAAACTCTTCGACATTTTGAGGAAAGACAGGCGACTAAGCCTTCCATTTGGGGAACAGTATGGTCAAATGCGAGAATCCATTTCACGACCATTTCTTCGTTTTCTACATATTCTTCGGCTCTATTCTTTTGGTGTTGAATTTGCAAACGATGCTGGTAAGTTTGTGCGCATTGTTATCCTAATTTTTAAGTCCTTCAAGAAAGACATAATAAGCGATCACAGCTGTCTATTCCACTCTATTTGTAAAGCACGGCAAAATCTTCCAATTTAACTGCCACGAATACTTTGTGGGATGCTTCACAGTGTACTTTGTAATCTCCAGGTTATTCGAAGATCGAAGTGTCTGTGGGCTCATTCCGCTTATCGTCTCATCTTCTTTAGTTCCGCCGCTGATGCTGTGAATTGTGGAGTTCAAGTCGCTGCAGTGGCCATCACTCTCCGCACTCCTGTCATTCATCCAACTTTAAATTCGGTACGTGTTTACGGTTGCCTTCTTCACAGCGATTTCTTCTGTTTCTCAAATTGTGTTTAGTTATTGGGTGCACTCTTTCACACGTCTTATGCTATGGGGTATCCAACTATTTTCGTCCTCGCCTTCAATCGGTTCATCGCAGTGGTTTTCCCAAAAAAGATGGATCTTGTATTTGACAAAAAGAAGACAATGGTATGATGCTTCACTAACTACTAATTCAAACGTATTTGATTTCCTTAGCGTNCTCAAATTGTGTTTAGTTATTGGGTGCACTCTTTCACACGTCTTATGCTATGGGGTATCCAACTATTTTCGTCCTCGCCTTCAATCGGTTCATCGCAGTGGTTTTCCCAAAAAAGATGGATCTTGTATTTGACAAAAAGAAGACAATGGTATGATGCTTCGCTAACTACCAAGTCAAACGTATTCGATTTTCTTAGTATTAAAGAAAAGGTCCTTCAGATAATTTTAATTTTGTGCTGCGTTTTTGGTGCTTTCACTGGCGCTCTCTGTCCTTCTGGAGAAATTCGATCGATGTGGGACCCCTATATTCCAAAATTCTATTTCACAAGTGGGTTCTATTACACAATTGCTGGGTTGTGGTGGGACAAATAGTTCGTATGAAGTTCTGGAACTTGTAGGGGACTCTAGCCCAAAGCTTTACCACATTCATTTCCTTCTCGTTCACTTAATTAGGTGGTATGCTTCCGTACGTCGTACCAATACGCGGTTTGCCGAACTCTTTGGAATCTGCATGAAAGTCAGCATTCGATGGAGAACACTTAAATCTGTAGTGAACATTCCATCATCTCGAGCTTCTTGCAGACGAATCGTCTTTTACTGCCGAGTTTTTGCGCGCTATGAACTTATACTACAGCGAATTTGTATTTATTATAAGTTTCATGATCTACCTTATCATCGTCGTCTTTCTGCTGTGCAACGTATGTGAATGCCTCTTGTTCTCACTCAGTGATTTTTAAGCCAGTTGTTTCATATTGCTCTTTGAAAAATGACACGTTTTATTAATGTATGTTTTTAGAGACAACTCATCAGATCTGTGCGCGTCGAGCTTCCGCTCCTGTTGCACTCTTTCCAGATATTTACGCTGTCGGGAATCTTGCTTTATTTATGGTCCTATCCCGTTTCTGATTCCGCCCCTTTACAATCATATCGTTAATGTTTTCGTCATTTTCCACTATGGTGCAACAACCATTTCACTTTTAATGACAAACAGGTATAGTATAGTTCCATACTTATGGCTACATTTTTTAGTCCCAATATTCAAATGTTGTCTAGAAATGCTCTATGATAAATCAACTTCTCTAAATACTTGATGGGTCTTCTTCACGAAGAATCGCGCAACCACAAACCTATCTGATAAGTAATTTGCTCACCGGGCAAAATTTCCTTTTCTGGAGACTCGAGAGTGGCTCTAGGACTTTCTTTCGATGTCACCACCTGGCTTCGCGCGACTACGCCTTTGCCAGTATGGCACTGACAGCTGCAACGAACGCTAAATTTGGCGAATGCTGCTTATGTAAGCGATAATTTGCTGGTCACTCGGAATTCTGGGAGCAACCCTGCTCTATAGGTCGCATTATACTCTAAACGGTTAAAAGTGAAGTGTGTCATAAGCACTACAAATCCCTGCAGCAATTTTAATGTGAAATAAAAAACTGCAACGACGTAGAGGTCGGAAAGTACAGAATACAGGGAACAAGAAAAGAACGTTTAGACCTCAAATAATGAAGCAACTGAGCAGCTTATAAAGAAAAAAAACAAGAGGCATGAGAACAGTTTCTTTCAAAGTATCAACGACAGCACAATATTGTGCCGATCAAGGTAGAACGTCTTCTTCGCTGGTATTAATTGTTCATCGTTCTTGTAAACTCGACTCATGAAACAAGTTCTTCTGAATGAACTCGCCGAGCATTTCCGTATTTATTGATCCGGTAGTGTAGGGCAGATAATGTTGCTGTGGACAGGATTCGAAGAAGTCTCTGCTACACTTCCACTTTCAAGTTCCGACATAGGCCTCTTATGTGAGGTCCTATGCACTATATGTTTGCGAGTTATTGCGTCCTTAAAACGATTTCCCACAACTTCTGTTTAATCCTCTAGAGGAAGTTTCAAATATTCATCACACCGTTTGTAATTATTTCGCAATAAACGCTTTCCATATTGAATTTCCATCGTCTGCATGCAATCTACACCTCGTGCACATTGTTTGCATTCCTAGTAGTCCTTACTGTCTTCACAAACCTGTTTCCATATTGCTGCCATTCGGTCGAAACGCCGTCTCACTTTCATCGATTCAAAAAAGATCTTTGATTCAATTGAGATAGAAGCAGTCATGGAAGCTTTTGATAGTCAAGTAGTCTTTACGCAGTACATAAAGATTCTTCGTGAGCTGCACAATTATTTCACAGCCATGGTATCACCATTCTACAGCGATATTAAGATTGATGTCAAAAGAGGAGCTAGACAGGGCGATACCATCTCGCCAAAATTATTCTCCGCCATCCTCGAGAACGTCGTGCGAACATTGGAATGGATTAAACGGTGGAGAAAGCCGATGGTTGACAGTTACATCATCTTGGCTTTGCTGATGACATCGTCCTTATAACACCAAACATTAGCCAAGCTGAACGTATGCTTGACGACTTCGATAAAGCTTGTGGAAAGATTGGTCTTCGGCTAAATCTCACAAAAACGATGTTCACGAAGAACAAATTGGTTTCGTATGCACCGCTGACGCTCAACGGAACGTGTATCTCTGAACGCTCCAGTTATATCTAACTAGGTCGGGAAATCAATGTGATGAACGACCTAGCTCCACAGCTGAGCAGAAGAAAACGAGCGGCTTGGGGAACTTTCAAGAGCATCGAGGATGTAGTGAAGAGAACAATGAACACCCAAATCCGTGCTCACCTTTTCGACTCAATGGTGCTTCCTGCCCTAACCTATGCGTCAGACACCTGGTAGCTGTGTAAGCAGGATGATAGGTAACCCAGCGTTATCTATCGTGCAGTCGAAAGGACGATGCTAGGAGTATCCTGTTCCAGACAAGTAAAGGATGGGATCCGAAGCTCCGATCTGCGTCAGCGATCAAAAATCAAAGGCGCCGTTCCGTACGCCAAACAGTCGAAGATAAGGTTTACCTGACCCGTAATGCGTAAGCATGAAAACTGATAGACAGAAGTCATTAGTAACTGAATTCTTCGGGGTGTTAAACGCACTGCAGGGACACCACCTAATTGGTCATCATCGAATCACTCGTCGATCAGCGGAACTACAGGAGATACAGGTGACTGTTTCTATTAATTAAGCTATCGCGACACCTTTTTTTTCTTTCTATACGTACTGACCAAATGCCTTGTTCTATAGGTTAAGCTCTCGGCCTACATATCCTTCATGTACAATTATGCATGTTTCATCATCCACCAAATCCTTCATGTATCTCATCATTAGTGGTTCGGCCAAATCATCGGTGTCGGGCGAAGTTCTGCAAGTTTTCACTGGCATTGTATACCTCTACCACGGATTGTGAGAAGAGTCGCTAGCTGTGCCTCTTACGTGAGATATACAGGTGATATAACGTCATTCCTCTTAGCGACGCCAAAGTATTTTTAATTGGCGTCTCTGCCTTACGCACATATTCTGTTGCCTTCACCTTTGATAAATTCAGTAAGTGGAATACGAAGATGGACTATTCAAGTATAGAAGTGTCCAAATAATAAGTTGATTGGTCATGTACAAATTTTATTTTCCACAATCGTCCATATTATCTCTAAAATATAGTCTATTCAACGGCTTCTGATCGTGTTTCTTAGCACGGCTCGTATTCTAAGTGGGGCTATTACACCAAGCGTGACAGAATTCCAATAACTGCTCCATCGTGGAAATCTAACAATTCCTTTGAATGCGTAGGCCGAATAGCCTTTTATTTTTTCGAGAGTTGCCGGTTCACACGACTGCACCGTTTCTTTTATAGCGCAAATACGATTTCATGAAAATGCGATGAGCCGTGCTTGGAAAGAGAGACAATCGATCTGCACCAGATGATCAAGGCTTCATTCGTCATAAGGCACCAAACTGTTTGAACACCTATTGTGGACGTGACCACCAGCTTGTTTCTCATCTTCTGATTAACACTTTTTGAATTTTTTAAGGAGAATGGCGGATGTCTCGTTGTTGTCAACTTCTTCAATTTCTTCTTGCCCACTATCGATCAGCAATAGAGAGGAACTGAATCATTGTTATTATGTGTAATATGAGAGCACAGCTATGCTAAAACGGTGAGAGACAGTACAGTGGTAGTGATGCAGGTCATCATGAGCACTCTGCCGATTCGATCCCGCTGCGGGTCCACCAGGCCTATCATCCCTTCGGGGTAGGAAAATTGCTGCCGGAGTTGTTCGGGAATGAATTCCTCATTGCAAACCGGTTGGGACCGCTCCAGCCTGCCTATCTCAGGACTTTTGAGAGAATCGACTCAACAAGCATTTTACGACATTCAAGATGGAGTGGAAATCTCCAAGCAGTAGCCGAAGCCACACATAAAAGTAAGAAAACCTAGTCAGATGGCAGATGGGAGGAAATGAATAGAATGTGAGAAGTGCTGGGATCCCCATTGTAAACGTAAAAACGGATCGTATAAAAAATTTTATCTTTTATGGAAACTTTGTAATTTCGCGAAATAGAAATCTTTTGCTATTTCTGTCTTACAAGATAAACTGAAAGGTAATGAAACGTTGTGCTAAAAACAAATTACTCTCTGCATGTATTACTAGGGAGCACATGTAGCATAGTGGTTTGAAGCTTCGTGCAGTACACATGTGGTCTTTGGTTCGATCCCATTTCCCAAGCTCAGCAAGGCTTTTACCGTTGCGGTTTAGCAAATTGGTGCCAGAACTGAGGAGAGATGGCAACCATGAGGATCACAACAAACAGCATGCCTTCGAATCAATGCATACGCGGCGAGAAATTTCTGCGGCCCTAGGTTATGCCCATGTAAAATTATCCGTCGTTGCGACTGAGTCAACACTTTGATATAGCACTGTTTCTGCCATGTAATGATCAAGAAGGGTGGTGGGAGCATAACATATCATACGAGCAATGAGTTTGAATTGACGAACGCATGTCTTCTGGAAAAAAGGCTTAAGCAAGAAGAAATAGTTTAGGAACTCAACAATAACCCTTGTATAATCTCTGAACAATGTGGATTGCCTTGGAGTTTTGAACCACTTGCTGCTCACCCGATGTTGAGAATGAGGAGGATCAAGAAATGCGGTATAAAATTGACACATGCAGATGACGCGAAGGATCTAGAAATGTCTTAGAATATAAGGAAATCAAAAACTGACATGACTAAGTGATGCCTGAAAAGATGGGAAAAGTTAAAGATGTGGTAGGCTGGAAGAATGTATTGAAATCAATAATAAACACTGCTTTTCAAAGTCCTTGTGGCGTTAGTGAAGCTGTTGTGCAGAGCGCTGTCAAAATAACACGTTCATAGGAACGCGAGGATATGATCGTCTTAACATGCTGGTGCTTCTAGTGCTATTCTATGAATGTATTCGATATAAAAATACTTTATTCTGATCCAAGCAGTCGATGCACTAATTAATTCTCCTCATTCAGGACATATCGCGGCGAATTTTTTATATGTAAACACCGACAACTACCGACTCCGACAACCGTAGTGGTGAGATCCAGGGCGGCAACACTCCCATAGGAAACAGGAAAATTCTCGATCGAGCTCGCTGAATTTGTTTCCATTCTGTTTTAAGCAGGTTTATTACAGTTGTTGCATATAATCCGATATTGTTAACAATAAAGTATTTTAAAAGAACGACTTTCTACAAAGCTCGGATAAACAATCGGCTTATCTATATGTGTTTCTTCCAATAGTTTACCGCTTCATCGGGGCTGAGAGGTATTCCCGGATGTCGTGTTGCCGGGGGTTCCATCTTGCTGGCAAGGTCTACCAAGCTGAGAAGGACTCCAACGTTTTCATCAGGAAGCCTACCTATGGGTAAACCCATACCAAGATCCACCAACGTGCTGGCATCAAATTGGTCACATGGAGGCAAACCTCCCTCTGATTCATGGGCTGCAAATACCTATGGTGGTGAAGACCTGAGGAT